TGAGAGCAGAAGTACAATATCTGCTAGATAACGACTTGGCAGAGGTTAGCAACAGTGACTGGAGTTCGCCGTGCCTCTTCGTGAAGAAGAGTGATGGCACATACCGGTTCTGCACCGATTACAGGAAAGTGAATGCAGTCACAGTCGCTGACTTGTTCCCGATACCACGCATTGATGATTGCATAGATCGGATTGGGAGTGCACGGTATGTCTCGAAAATAGACCTGCTGAAGGGATACTACCAGATTCCCCTATCCGAGGAGGCTAAGAGGATCTCAGCGTTCGTAACACCCAACAGCTTGTACCAATATAAAGTGGTGCCGTTTGGAATGAAGAATAGTGGTAGTTGTTTCCAACAAGTAATGAATCAGGTATTACAAGGCTCGACCGGATGTGCAGTGTACATCGATGACATTGTGGTGTTCGCTGATTCCTGGAAGGATCACGTGGATCGACTTTTAGATTTGTTCAATCGATTGGAGAAGGCCAACATGACGATCAACTTAGCAAAAAGTAAGTTCGGGAGAGCCCGCCTGGAGTACCTTGGGTATATACTAGGGCAAGGCGAGGTTGCTCCGGTAAGAACAAAGGTGGAGGCCATTGACAATTTCCCGGTGCTCAGGAGTAAGAAAGAATTGTTGAGATACCTCGGTATGATTGGATATTACCAGAAGTTCTGCGGAAATTTCTCCGCCATAGCCGCTCCTATGACGAGTTTGCTATCAAAGAGCAAGACGTGGGAGTGGAATGGAACAGCACAAGAAGCGTTTGAAAAGACCAAAAGACTGTTGACCGAGGCGCCTGTACTAGTGTCGCCAGATTTTGGAGCGCGGTTTACGTTATTTGTAGATGCCAGTGATATAGGGGCTGGAGCTGTACTGACGCAGCAGAGTGATAGAATTTATCGCCCCGTGTCCTTCTTCTCAAAGAAGTTCGTTAAGCACCAGAGGTCGTACAGTACGGTCGAGAAAGAGACTTTGGCCCTGGTGATGGCATTGAAACATTTCGAAGTGTATGTGAGTGGGGGAGGACACCCAGTGACGGTGTATACAGACCATAATCCCCTAGTTTTCCTGAGGAAAATGAAGCATGCGAACCAGAGGTTAACCAGATGCTTTTTATTGCTCCAAGAGTATGACCTGGTGATAACGCACATAAGAGGGCGAGACAATGTAGTATCTGATGCGTTATCTCGAGCCTAGCCACTAGAATAATTCTCAAAAACAAGGGCGAGGGAGTGTTATGATCCCAGGTAGCCGAAAAATGAGTCTCCCCTTTGAGAATTATTCTATCAGACCTGACCTGACTAGAAGGTCTAGGAAACATAGAGGTGAAGACACAGATGTAAAATAGTTGGTTGGATTTGATAAACAATTTAAGATAATGGGCAGTGAATAAGAAAATAGATAAATGACTGGTTATGAGATGTGGATAATTTGCTGGAGGCGTGAGGCTCACTTTGAGAGGGCTCTGACCCCACTTGAGTACCAGACATTGTGAGGGGAAGTTGTGCTCTGTGTGAGCTCCTGTCAGAGAGGAACCCCTAGTGATATACCTTCAAGAGGAAGGAAGTGTGCAGACGTTCCAGCTGTGGAATCGTGCTGGGAACGTTGTGGTCTCAAGTCCTGGACGGCATGGAGAGTTTGTTAAGCCGCCCAGATACATTATCGTGGGCCGTGGGAGCGCCCTGTTCAGACTTCGTCAGAGAGAGAGCGTCCTCGACTAGACAATCTATGGTAAGCACGATTTTAAGCCAGTTTATAATGATTACTTGTAGTTGGTCGTGTGCCCGGCGACAGTAGCGAATGTTTATTGATAAGTTAGACATGTTTTGGTAAGGCAGGAAGGCCTAAAATAAGAGAGTGGAGATGGAGAAACGTCCTGGAGGACGGAGCGATGTCTGTCTCCTCTGAGCGCTAGCAGATGACTGAGGGAGCCCAGCTCCTGGTGGGGTAGTTGCCTCCAGGGCCGCCTGGCCGGGCGGAGCATGGACCAGCCCAAACGGGGGAGTCCACTCTCACAGTATGTAGAGAGCAGATAGATGTTGGATGCAAACATATTGTGTGGATTATTTCGTCTATGTGTTTATAAGGAAACATTTTTATTGGCGTGTCAATGGGTTGCAGGTTTGTCTTTGGGGAAGAAGTTGCTGAGAACTTCGAAGCCAGCACAGAGGGAGTAGTTGATGAGACTCCAAGGTAGTGGAAAGTACTGAGCTCTGTGGGAGAGCAGCCTTACAGTGAGGAAGAGGATCTCAAGCTGTGAGAGGAGGAGTAATGGAATGAAGCTTCACAAGTTTTGTGATACCAGTGGTTAAGCACCATTGTCGATCAAGGAAGACTTCATGGTGTAGCAGCAAGGAGAGCTGTGGAGGACCCTGGTAGTTAAACCCGGAAGAACCTGAAGATGTCAGGGTAGTGAGCTTCCAGATGTGGAAGGGAAGTTCTGGTTGATTACTTGTAGGGAGTTGGTAGAGTGTTTGGTTGTCATTAGCGTGCAAGACGCAGTGAAAGGTGAGTGATTGTTTGCCATTTTTGTGCCAAGGAGTACTTATACTGAAGTATAGAGTTACAGTCGTAGGCTGGATTACCTGCAGAGACATACATATGTGTTCTAGGACTGATAGGGTGATCGATTGATCATTGTTGTATATCAAGGAACATTTATACTAATATTTATGTTATTGCATTCATACGCTGGTTTTCCTTGTATGTGTTTATAGATATATATTCTCTTGCTGATAGTGCAACATTGTCTTATGAGACTTGACCTACTTGAGGAGGTTGGTAGTATTAGGTGGTAAATCAGGAGATAGGATACCACTTGGTAAGCAGATGATAGAGTTCTGATGGTGTTGGAGTGCAACCTGACTGAAATAGTATAGAGTGTAGGATTTATTATCCACCTTGTTACGGCCCTCTCGGGTCGCAACTGGGTTCTTACTCTGATGTTGTTAGAGGAAGGGTATCTGGCCCCAAGCCAGTAGTGGCTTTCAAGGGATGTGATCCGTAACGCAAGTAAATTAAAAGGGGAAGGGAAATAAAGTCAAAAACTTAATATAATATAATGATCACCGTCCCCAATAAATATATATAAACGATTACACGGGGGGGGGGGGGGGATATAAACACTATAATACACTGTCGTCTTCTTCTGAAGACCCTGGATCCTCTCGGTGCCAAGCTCTCGATGCTCTCGTGGCCTCACGACGAATCCTTCGAGAAGCTGAGTCTACCCCGGCCACAGGTCAGCCAAAACACTGTTCCACTGGGGGCACCGCTGTGGAGGCCGTCAACCACAAGTCCAGCAGATGGCTGGCAGGTTCCGAATCAGCAACGCTGGTTAGGCCACTCCACGAGCGAAACTAGGGTAGCGCCCTAGTCAGGAGCCTCGTGTGATACCACAGATCACTCTCCTATCCGCAATACCCCAGTGGTTAAGCGTCTCCACCAGCCAGTCCTGGGTATGACAATCCTTCAACTGCCGCTTCACAGGCAGGGTAACACCACAGTGTTCATCCGGGAGGCGACTCACAGCTGCTGCAGCAAAACACTTGCTGTCGAGAAGGCTGCCTTGGGTAGACTGACTCAACTTCCCTTACAGCAGTCCCAGGTCGACTCTGTAAGCAGACACATCATCAATTACAGGGACACACTAAAGCACCTCACTTACAGGCTCAGACCCAAACGCCCGACGCATCCACTCCATAGATGGCGTTGTTGTCTGAGCACCACCTCACCAGAGGTCAGCAGCGGCTGTGTTGTGAGCTGAACACGACTGGAAACTGGCCCTCGTAGCCAGTACACCTCGTCCTCACCAGGTGTCGTCGTCCATTTGGAGGAGGTTTCGGGAGCTGACCCACAGATGGCGCGGTCGTCACTGCTCCGTGCTCGGACGCTGGATTCGGGTCCGTAACACACCTATGTCCCTATAACTATTCACCCTTGCAAGGTCAGCCGTGTAGCAACAGATGTAACTGTAACTTCCTCTACCGATGGCGCACGTGGTGTCACATGACATGCCATGACAATGATATATGTATGCATGTATAATGATACATGCATACATAAGGATGCATGTATACATAATACATGTACAAATAATGATACATGTACACATAATGATACATGTATACTTAATACATGTACAAATAATGATACATGTACACATAATGATACATGAGCTCATAATGATACTTGTATACACATAATGATACATGTACACATAATGATACATGTACACATAATGAGACCTGTACACATAATGATAGATGTACACATAATGATACTTGTACACATAATTATACATGAACACATTAAGATAGTTGTACATATATTTATACATGTAAACATAATGATACATGTAAACATAATGATACATGTACACACATTGATCATATACATATAATGATATAATGTAAACATAATGATACATGTACACACATTGATCATGTACATATAATGATATGATGTAAACATAATGAAACATGCACACATAATGATACATGTAAACATAATGATACATGTAAACATTGATTTATGTCCTCAATGATACATGTTCACATCATGACACATGTACACATATTAATATATATAAACATAATGATACGTTTACACATAATGATACAGGTACACATAATGTTACATGTACACATAATGATACATGTACGCATAATAATGCATGTACACATAACGGTGCAAGTTATTAATGTACATGTACATGATACATGTACACATAATGATACATGTAAACATAATGATACATGTGAACAAAGATATATGTCCACAACGATACATGTTCACATCATGACACATGTACACATATTGATATATATAAACATAATGATACATTTACACATAATGATACAGGTACACATAATGTTACATGTACACATAAAGATACATGTACACATAATAATGCATGTATACATAACGATGAATGTTATTAGTTTTCAAAGTGTTATTATACACATAAAACAGTCTGAGTTTTCTCGGCGCCAGGTACATGTACCTGCGGCCTCCTGATGGGTCTTGGGGCCTTAAACGTGAAGACGGTACCTGGTCAGGCATGCTGGGGATGGTCATCAGGCAGGTAAGTGTTGTCTTAATGGTGCCTTAAACGTGAAGATGGTACCTGGTCAGGCATGTTGGGGATGGTCATCAGGCAAGTAAGTGTTGTCTTAATGGTGCCTTAAACGTGAAGACAGTACCTGGTCAGGCATGTTGGGTACGAGTGCTTTCTTACGTCCCAACGGCTCTTTGCGTTTTCAGATGTCACCTGTGTCTTCTTGTCCTGTTCTCTTTGAATCTGAAGAGTCTATCCTTGTCCTCCTTATCAATTCTCTTCAGCATCTTGTAAATTGGAATCATATCCCCTCTGTTCCTCCTGTCATCTTGGGTTGTGACATTTAGTTCCATTAGCCATCTTCATTGCTTAACACTCTTACCTCTGGCACCAATCTTGTTGCAAACCTTTTGTACATTTTAAATGTTGACTTTATGCTTTGAATGGTGCGGATTCTAGACTTGTGATGCGTATTCCATCATTGGTCGAGCAAATATTATGTAGATTGCTTTCAAGGAGTCCCAATTCAAGTCTGTAAATGATGTTCATACATATACCAATTTCCAATATGCGGCCAATATTATCCGGTTTATGAGTGCTTCTGCTGTGAGTGTCGGAATTATATCCACTCCCAGATCCTTCTCTCCTTCTGATTCCTGTAGTTGCCCTCCCCTTATGGTGTAGATGCCTTCTGGTCTCCTTTCTCCCTTTCTCATCTACATTACCTTACACTTGTTGGGCTTGAATTCCAGCAACCATTTGTCTGATTACACCTAGAGTTTGTCAAGGCCTTGTGTAACTTTCTAAAGTCCTCATCTGTTTTCACGTTCTTCATAAGCTTTGCATCGTCTACAAACATTGTCACGTCATAGCTCACTCCCTTGAGCAGATCATTCACATAAATTAGAAACATCAGCGGTCCCAGGACAGAGCCTTGTGGGACCCCACTTGCTTCATTCTTCCAGCTTGAAACCTCCTCTTTGACCGCGCCCCTGGCTCTCCATCTTGAACAACGTTCTTTCATGGGGAACAGTGGTAAATGTTTTTTGATAGTCTACTCAGCCTTCCTTTTCCTCCTGTCTTATAATAAAGATCTTACGATAAGACAAATCATTAAAAGTATCATACCTTGTCATAGAACTCAATCAAGTTTGTCAGACATATACTTGTAATCTATTCTGATTTTTTGTCACAAAGTCCTTCCTCTCAAGATGCTCCACTTTCATTGATGACTTTCTCCAGCACTTTACAAGGAATACTTGTCAATGACACTGGTCTGTAGTTTAGTGCCTCCTTTGTATCCCCTTTTTTAAATATTGGGACCACATTTGCCTTTTTCAGACATTTGGGAGACTTCCTGTCTCAATTACAAAAGAGTAGACACCGGGTGACCGAGTACTTCTGCAGCCTCCCTCAGCAGCCATGGTGAGACTAGGTCCGGTCCCATTAATTTTGTCACATTTAGTTCCCCCAGGAATTTGTCCGCCTCTGCCACAGTAAATAAAATGTCTTTCAGAATTTCTTCTGGCCTTTCATCTTGCAACCTTGGTCTCCACGCTGGTTCTAATGTAAAGACCTCCTTAAATCATCATTGAGTGTCTAACATACTTCCTAATATTTTATGTGAGAGCTCCTCCTTGATTCTTCAATCTGAGTACAAAGTCACTCACTGTCTTTTTCTGGTTCTATGGCTTTGGTTGTTCCTTAGCTTTTGCAGCAATATCATTTTCAAATTGCTGCTCGGATTATCTTCTAATTCATTCTGGTTCTCTTTAGTGCCTTTCTGTTATTCTCTGTTCCCATTTCTCTACCGTCTCTTATTTTTTCCTTTCTTTGCATCCCTGCATTGCCTATTGAATCAGGGGTTAATTTAATTTTTTTATCCACCTCCTCTTGAATGGTATGAATTGTTTTGTTGCATTAGCACATTTCCCAGTAACGAATTCCCTCATCTCATTTGCTGACTTCCCTACCATTTCTCTAACATTTGATTTCCTGTAGAAAGTTCCTCATCCTGATGAAGACCCCGTGATTGTAATATCCCTTTTTCTTCAATGGGTTTCTTTGTATAACTAATTCCTTCAGTTCCACTATGTATTTAAGCCTAACAATGCAGTGGTTGCTAGCTCATAATCTATTTTTCCTTTCGATTCATTTTGAAAAAAAAAACATGTTTAGTGTTGATGCTAGATCATCTCTTGCTGCTAGAGGAGATGATCTAGCAGCAACACTTACTCTTGTTGGTTCTGTGACATGTTGCTTTAAGAAGAGTTTGTCAGCTATGTCTACTAGTCTTGCTCTCCATGTCTCATCACTCCCCGGTGGGGATCCTTATTTATCAAGTCTATTTTGCTGTGGTTGAAGTTCCCAATATTAGCTAACCCATCCTCCTGTTTATGTAGTACGTATAGTAACGATGAGGACCAATGTACTTATATTGACGTAAAAAGGCATTTAGAAAGTAGAAATCAGTACAATTGAATTTGTGCAAACAGGAAAAGGTTTTGTTCTTATGCTGCAAAGACAACCTAAACTAACCTAACCTTCCAAGTCATAATACATTCTATACGACAACCAAATATAGTGCATATATATGCTATACTAGGCATAGGAATATTTAAGTTTATTTTTTTAGCTTTAATTCTTTTTTGGACTTTATAAATTGAATGATACCAAATTATTCTACCTAATTCCTTTTTATGTTAATAAATATACCATGGTCCACATAGTTACAAACACTACTATCTAACAAGAAGATAGGTTGTATTAGGATTTTAACTTGTTCCGTTGTGCTACTGTAGGAACAAGAGTTGAAATCCTTGCTATTGTGGCCGCTTTTTCCATCACCTTTATACCATTCTCATTTCATCTGTCGTTTTGTTCTCTACGACTTTTATTGTTTGATGGGGATTATAAATCACACTGCACCACTATCTTCACCCCCTTAATGTAGCTATTCCTAGTAGTTACTCTTCCTGGTCAGCTCCCTCTACTGTTTTGTCGTGTAGGTGCATATCAAAACATTGTTTTGTGAGAAGGGAGTGTATGCATTTGTCTGCAATGATAAGACTTGACTTCTTGTGTTGGATAGAAAAAGTAAAAACATTTGCAGTGGGATGCTTTTGAAGGTGGTGGCACGACAGTAGCTTGTGCGCATGTGTAAAGACGACATTAGCAGTGTCTGGTTTTCCTGCAGGAATTTTGGAATAGACTACGTCCTGTGCATTAGAGAAACTTTCTCATGTACGTTTCATAGTTTAAACTAATGAGTATAAAATATAATTAAACCCTAGTGCAAGAGATCTGAAACAATATATGCAGGCAGGAGGGATTATAATAATTTGTCATAATATTAAGTAAGTTATCACAACTTACACCTTTCTGCTTCGTCCGCCTATTGCTAAATCAGAGTAAGCCCAGATACTGGTACTTTACTGCTGTCATAATACGCTGGCCATAGTTCAAGCCTTGAAATATATTATTTTACGAACTGAAAGAAAATACTAATATTTTAGATCAAATATATTATTATAGCAAAATTAAAGAATAGTGAAAAGCGTAAACATCCTTAATTTATCTTTAATAAGATTTGTGATAGATACAAAAAATATTTAGCGGCAGGCAGGAACATGAGCCGCCAACACACAGAGACAAAGAGCGTGGGCCGAGAAAGAGAGAGATAAATGATTGTTCTCATTCCGGGACGTGTACAAACCAGCACTCCACCCTATGGACCGCCGATCTAGGTAGCGTGTAACCATAAGTATTCTGGATATTGTTTACTGTGGTGTAGATCAATAGGTAGATTAGGATATAGAAGATGTGATGGAGCTGTGTACGCCTGTGCCCAGGTGGAGGCCGCCATGGTGGATCAGGTAGCCACAGTCAAGAGACCATTGGACATAATTACTACCTTGATCAGTGATTAATACTGCATTATGTTATATATATTGATAATACTCTAGGGAGCAGTTACAAACGTAGTTCTGTAATCATCCATAGAAAACGAGATTGCAGAGGAATTTTCCCAGAGAAAATAGCATATCATTGCAATTTAAATTCACCAGCTAATAATATTATGAATTATCTTAAACATCAGTCTCTGGATTGTAAACATCATAAAAACATATGCCTGGAACGATCTTAATTATCAGCACTAAACAAATTAAATATAAACCCTATTTCTACTTATTAATTAAACACTTTTGGGAGGAGACGCTCGATGCGGGAGGGAGGGCGTAGCCATTTTCAGCCCGGAATGTTGAAACGTTTCGTGTTGTCAAATCGATTTTTTGTACTAAACATGTTATCAAAGAGTTGGAAAGCACAAATCGACACCATCGTATCCAGGGAAGGCATTGTATCCATGAAGTATATATTAAGTCTTTAGAGCTCTAATTATTGTGAATTATACTGTTATGGTTATGCCGCAGGTATAACCATAACAGGGTTATGGGATTATTGCTCAAGGGTTAGCAATAATCTCATCTCTTTTCATTTCAAATTATTATTATTATTATGATACATGTAACTATATAATTTAGATGTAGCAAAATTTACTGTGTAAACTCATCCGCAGGTAAATTGAGACATGAAGTTATTAATGTGAAATCACACGGAGACAAAAGACCACATGACTGATCTTGTCCCATCCTGCAAATAATACCGGGAGATCATGAGTCTGACTCACATGTTTACACCAATACCAGAATGTTGATGCCTTCTTGTCAGATAAGGCCTAACATTTATTTCACTAACCCATGTAGTATTAACATTAGTAGTAAATGTCTACCAATTGATAATTTTCATTGATAGACTATATAATTAATACCCCCCCCCCCAAATGTGAAGAAAGCTACTTGTGGGAAATTAATGTCAATAATGTCATACAATCTGTATCTAATTAAATAAATTAACATTAGAAATAAATTAATATAAATAAATTAATATAAATAAATTAATATAAATAAATTAATATAAATAAATTAATATAAATTAAAATAAATAAGTAAATCCAACGAGTCAGTTTACCTCACAATTATTTCTTTAATTTAGTTTTTTTCCTTCTGTCAGTTTGCGAGATATTCATTCACTCTTTTACACATTTTCACAGCGATATTGCCTGCTTATCACTCCCAAATTAATACACTGACTGGAGCTCCCTAGCCCTCAACCCTGTTCAGGCATGTTGGGGGAATGGTCATGAGGCCCTCAGGTAAATGTTGCCTCTATACACATTACCTTCAAGGAAATTATTAATAAATATTTAAAAAATAATTTTCAGTGCTACATTAAATTGAAATTTTTTTTTTTCCACATCCGGAAAAGGTTAAAGATAGTGATATGTAGTGTTGAACCCCTCTCGACTACTGTCATACTCTGTGTGACGTAAGGTGTGATGTTTTCTCCATATGGTGTTAAAAACGGTGTTCTCTGTAGTAGTGAGTAAACATCTTATGTTCCTAGCGTTTTGTTGACAGAATATGTTGGGCCTGCTTTACTGATTAGGATGTGTCTTATCTTTGGAAAATGAAGGAAGTAGATGTGGCTGTCGGCCCCTTCGGTGTAAGTGGAGTCCGCGCTGAGGTGGTGGACTTCACTAGACCAGTCCTAATAGATTACAGTAGGATCCTTGGAGCTCGAGGTCAACCGGAGGTGAACCCATGGGGGTTCCTGTTCCCTCTGGAGCCGCTGGTGTGGGCGGCCATCGTGGCGGCGCTGCTGGTGCTGCCTACTGCTACCATCCTCATGTCCTCGTGCTTCTCACTCAGCACTCACCACCAAACATACACCTTTCCTGCCACGTCCGCCTACCTCCGCCTCTTATTGAATCAGAGTAAGCCCAGATACTATTACTTTATTGCTGTCATGATACGCTGGTAATAATTCAAGTTTTGAAGTGTATTATAATATGAACCAAAATAAAATAATAAAATTTTAGATCAAATACATATTTATAGTAAATTTAAGGATAACGAAAAACATAAACAGCATTACTTTATCTTTAAACATCAGTTGTATGAGATTTGTGATATATACAAAAAATACTTAAATCCAAATGCTCAAGCTAACTGCAGGACGAGACAGAAAACTTTCTGGATTTGACAGAGAATACAATTTAAAGAGAAAGGGGATTAATTAGTAAGTTTTCAGGTTCATGTATATGACTTTTACTTGAAATACAAGAAAGTGTGGCTCTTAATCCATGACAAATATGTCAAACATAAGAACAAAATGAATTTTGTGTGATAGCGAAAATTTTTGGGCCAGCAACTGCTTCAGATGCATCAACGTGGGTTAAAAATGGCCAGATTGGCCATAACTCACCTTTTATTCGAAACTGAAATATAATTTATGGCTCTAAATTTGCAGAAGCCTCATGTTTCTATATGTCTTAGGAAGAACGTTTTCTCTATTTGTGTAAAAAAAATATTGGCAATAAATCATTTTGTGGGTACTTGTGTTAGTAAAAGGGCGAAAATCACCTTCGTTTAATGAAAGGCAATTTTTCGTCAATTCAATAGACAATTTATAATTTGTCATCCTTCGTAACTCTATTCACCTACTATTTAATTAGCTACATTTCCTCACTACTGTATATTTTGTGAAGAATTTAAAATGTAAAATTGTGTAGTTACTCGTGGCACAATAGTTTTTGCTTAACCTGAGCCATTCCCTGGAGGTTTAAAATCTGGTTCCTAAATGACTTGCAAGAAATTTAGCAGCACTTATAATTTGTATGGCTGTCTAGCTAACCTTCCTTCTTTCTGAACTAGTCTTTCCTACTGACTGGGGTGAGTGAGGTAATATTCACCCAGATCCCCAAATACAGTATCAACTTAAACTACAATATCTGCAACTCTTAAAGTTGCAAAGTAGTTGTTATGGCTATAATGAAAACTTAATTTGATATATAACTTGAATTTAAACTATCATTAAACAATTAATAACGAGAGGATGATTCAAAGGTGAAAAATATAATTTGTTCACTTTTGACCCCCCACGAATACCCACTAAAATTATTTTTCGCTAATTACTTTTTTCTTGCACAAATAGATAAAAAGTTCCTCTAAGGATATGTAGAAACATGATTCTGCAAATTATGAGCAATAAATCCAGCCCATCCTCCTGTTTGGGTAGTACTTACAGCAATGATGAGCACCATAGTGTATAAACCGACATACAACAAATTTGAAAGTAGAAATCGCCACTATTGAATTTGGCAAACCAGAAAACTATTTTTTACTTGTGTTGCTTTGACAAATTAAACTAAAATAACCGAACCTTCCTAAGCCTAATATACGATATCTGAGGTTTAATGTAGTACATATGTGTGCCATACTAGGCCTAGGAATATTTTAAGTTTGTTTTGTAGCTTTGTTTATTTTAAAAGAATTCCTTAACAGTCAGAATACTACTATCTAAAAGCTTAGTACATACGAATTCGTGACTACTGACGACCATCACAATAGGTACTCTCTAAAAAGGAGGATGGGTTAAATAAATCATGTCTCTAACACAAGCATATGGAGAATTATGGCCATCTTGGACATTTTGACATGCTCGCAGCCACGCTCATCCAGATTGCCGGTCCCAAAACGATGCCAAATCACTCAAAATCAATTTCATTCTTATTTGTCAGGGAATAGCTATACAAGCTTTTAAATTAAAATATTCACTCTACCCTATTATCCATCTATCTATCCATCAATCCACTCAACTTTATATCCATATATCTATCTATTTATTCATCTATCTATATATCTATCTATCCACTCATCTGTCCATCCATCCATCTATCTATATATCTAGCTATCTATCCATCTGTCCATCCCTCTATCTACTGTTTGTCTCTACGTCTGTCTCTATTTCTTTGTCTGCCTCTCTCTGTCTCTGCCTCTCTGTCTCTGTCCATCTCTCTCTAATACAAAATGTCATTGTCTAATGTGTGGGTGATCGCCAGTGAGAAGAACTTAGTGGTGTAAAATGCTAAACAAAACAAGAACAGTTACTTCTTGCTCTGAAAAGGGCCAATGCTTGAGAAACCTTTCAAGCTGTAGAACAATCGCCTGTTTATGAGAGTACGGGCAAATTATTGATAGCAGGGAATTTATTTATTTTCTCGAGATCAGTGAATAATGGAGCATATTACTATAACAAAATAGTTCTTTGGAAAGATTGTTTTGAAAATATTTAGCTGTGTAGCTGGCAAGCGGTGACAAAAAATCATCATGGAAGTCTGAATGTAACCCTGGCACACTGTTCCCTTTTGAATTCCGGTTTCCAAGATCAGCCTATGCTCATCCCGTACCTCAGACCATTCCCTCTGCATATTTGGGTGAGGTTGTGTGTCACCTCCAACTTCGAACAGACAAACAGAGAGACATTATCTCTTATAGTATAGAACCAATTTCACACGTTTATTAAAACTGTAAATGGAAGAGACGAAGATGAAGAATGAAACAATATAGCAACTAAAGGACAGAAGAAAGACGACGTGTAGATGAAATGCAATTTTCTCTAGACTGTATAACAAAATATATTGAAAAAAAGAGAGCATGTGTTCTGGAGGGAGTCTCAAAAATATAAATAAATTTTGTAACGTTACCAGTAATTTATTTACTAAACTCATGTAGATATTATTCGCTTCATACATTGCGCTCTGTAAATATAATACAAAAAGTCTGGAAGACATGTAATAAATGCGAGCATTAGGAGAGCGACACACAACACAGTGTGCACGCGTGGCAAGGGCATTGTCTCCAAACACAAAATAGTTGTTTTAATTGCTGGATGATAATTTCTGATTACTTATAGACTACCTATGCAATACCTAAGATGTAATATTACTTAATACATATTTCTTCACAGATGTGTTGGAGTGTGGTGGGGGTTGGTGGTGGGAGCGGGTGATGTTGGCGGTGTGGGGGCTGGTGGCGCTGGTGCTGACGCAGAGCTACGCCGGCAACCTCATGGCCCTCCTGGCCGTGAGGTACATCCCTCAGCCCTACCAGTCTCTCCGGGACCTGGTCAATGACCGATCCGTCAAACTGATATGGGAGCAAGGCTCTTCTAACGCACAAATTAAGCGTGTATGTAACGTGTTTGGTTTGCCAGATATATATTTTAAGGCATGGAGAATAAATGCACCGGACATCGTCTTGGATGAAATATTTCTTGATATTCTCAGTTATGTACAATATTACCGATTTTGTTTTTGTATGTTGAGACCTGTGCCAGCCTCAACCATCGCTGGCAGTTTTCCCAAATTCTTTGCAGAAGGCTATTGTTACCATCCACTACTCTCAGCTGTACCCATTTGGCTTCAATCGGAGAATAATACGTGGGTGCATGTGAGTAGTGAATAAGGAGACAGATTGAGGTAAAAAAAATTTCAGAAACGGTTGGGCACTTCCATGCCGACTTGACCCTGTCGGGCCAGATCGTCCATCCCTCTTGTTTTAGGTGGTTAGGTTAGGGCACAGTCAGCGCGCTCCTGGCTGGCTGGCGGTGGTGGGGTGGTGGTCCCCCCTGGGGTCCCTGGGGGACCACCACCCATGGTGTACCTGAGGAACTGGTGCCCTATCCTAACCTGTTTTTTTGCACGATTTGTCTCGAGCTTTTAAGATGAGTCTAGGGCCTCAAGGAGGGGGTCTCTACTTATGAGAGGTACCGAGGATGAATGTTCAATAGTTGGAAACCAAAAAATACACTGGTGAAAGGCATATAAACGTTTTTGGAGTATTTTAATGGCATGAGCAAAAATGCACGATTTGTCCCGGGGGTGTTACGAGAGTACTACGGTATCAATTTGGGGGCCCTTACTTTGAATGGATCAGAGGGTGAATGTTCAATAGATTCAAACCAAGAAACGCAGTTGAAAGCGAATATAGAAGTTTTTGGAGTACTTTAATGAGGCTATGACTGAATAGTATAGGGAGTCCTTGGGCACAGCTCCATTTTCTGTAATGGTCAGAGGTGGATAACCCCAGTGGGGGTCAAGCATACAAGGGGGGGTCAAGATTCCTTACAAAGACCATTTTGGATATATAGGTGTAGTAAGCCTTATCTTGAATTTGCATGATACTGTGGGGTACATTGACATGAAGGGCGAGTCATAGAACAGGATCTGCATGTGAGATGGGTCATATTGGGGTTTTAAAGAAGTTAAGATAGCTTTAAAGAGTCCTGTGTGCTTGATAGTGGGGAAATGTTCAGTCAATAATTCTCGTGTTTTGAATCTGAATGAGGGGTCCTAGTTTGCGTTCTAGTCATAAAATGAGTTCCTTAGTATATTTGCTATGGAAAATGAGCTTTCAGTACTCTATATAATTTGAAATGAGGTCAAGAAAGACATGTTTATGTGCGAGAAGAGTCAGGTTGGAAACTGTTTATTTCAGTCATCCCCCCTTGGCTTTGCTCCGTTTTCTGTAGCTAAAGTAAAGATTCCATTTTCTGTGGCATACAGTTGATTACTGGTGAAAAAGGCATACTTGAATTTGAATGGTTCTAACCTGTTTATAGATATATTTTTCGGGCCTTAAATTAGATTTTAATATGAAAAATAGCATCAAATGTATGTCTATCTTTTGTAATAAACGTTACAAGCATTAACAATACCTATGATATTTCATAGAATACGAAAAGAAGTTTAAATAGTGGGGGCCTCAGCCATATTGTGTTGGGTTGACACTCCAACATAGTAAATTTTTATATAGTATTTTACTTGGAGGAGTAAAGCTGAATAGCTGGAGGAGCTATTCAACTGAATAGCTCCTGAATAGAGGAGCTGAATAGCTGGAGGAGCTATTCAACTTATGACAAGCAGCCTTGTACCCTGTATGTAATCAATATTGTAACTTTTTTTGTGTAATGACATTTTCAAATAAAGTTAGATAAATATACACACTTAACAAAAGAATAGGGGTGGTAGGAGAAGAAAATATCAAAGTGTTCAGTGAGGATCCAAAAGGTCTTCTCTGAGTACTCTTTATTTTCTTCTCTGAGGCTATGGGTCCCTACATTTGCACCAGAGGTGGTACCCCTTCTAGGTTTGAAAAAAAAAAAAAAAAAAAAAAAAAAAGTATTTTACTTTATATTTTTACATAGTATTTTACTTTATAGTAAATATACTATAAAGGAAAGTAGTTGAGTTGTTTAAGCAATTTAATACATACTGGGAATCTATTCGTATTCTGTATTAAATTTCATTTTTTAACATATTAATAGTTTTCAGCTATTGTGGTGGGGGCCCAATAACTTCATATAGTGCATCGACTTATGTCAGTGCCGTGGTATATCAAGCGCTAAGGTTTTCAGAAAATGTTACACCTCCACCTTTCAAAAAAGTGAAAAGATGAATTCATTTTGGCATTACTGTCATTACTTTGGAAGTTTTTTAATTATAGCACATGCTTAAACAAACTCGCTCGCAAAAACAAACTCATTTTTTTTGGTTTAACTTACACAAATAAACCCAGGGCTTTCACATTCGCGCAAAATACTTAGTCCCCCCTAAACTTAAAACAGTTGCACAATCTTACTTAAACACATTGCTGAACTCTTATACACAAACAAAAACTGAATTTTTAACTTACACAAATAAACCCAGGGCTTTCACATTCGCGCAAAATACTTAGTCCCCCCTAAACTTAAAACAGTTGCACAATCTTACTTAAACACATTGCTAAACTCTTATACACAAACAAAAACTTAATTTTTAACTTACACAAATAAACCCAGGGCTTTCACATTCGCGCAAAATACTTAGTCCCCCCTAAACTTAAAACAGTTGCACAATCTTACTTAAACACATTGCTAAACTCTTATACACAAACAAAAACTAAATTTTTAACTTACACAAATAAACCCAGGGCTTTCACATTCGCGCAAAATACTTAGTCCCCCCTAAACTTAAAACAGTTGCACAATCTTACTTAAACACATTGCTAAACTCTTATACACAAACAAAAACTCAATTTTTAACTTACACAAATAAACACGGGCTTTGCACATTCACACAAAAAAATGCTTAGTCCCCCCTAGACTTGAACACTCACAATCTTACGGTGCTTTAATTTCCAAAGCCTTCCAAACCTGCACAGCTGACTGCGGCTGGATGGGAAATTACAATTGAGCCAAAAACAGTTGGTCAGGGCGAGATACGGCCTCATTTTTAGAGACATTTACTATAGCAAAAGCTTGAACATCGAGAACTGAATGCGGGCCTACACGAGAGTTGTTCTTGGCACTCAAATGTTTAGAGATTAAAATACATAGAATCTGCTAGAGCCCACCCAAGTCGCTCACGCGGGCAATAGACATGTGTTTCGCCCAAGTGTATTTATTTAAAACAAAAATACGTCAGATAGAAAGATTTTCGCATTGCCATTATATTTACCTTATAAAGCCTCTTTATAAAAATGATATGCCACTGCGTATTATGATTGTTTTATAATAAATATTGCATAAATACTTACACGATTTCATAAACAAAAAATTATTTTAATGAGCCATGTTAGGAAGGCATCATTTTTACATTAAACGAAAACTTTTAAACTAACTAAAAAGATATATCTCATAGAGGAAGATTTATTCTTCAAGATATATGTTATTGTTTAAGAGTTTCATTCTGTATCAAAAGGTTTGCCAATGTTTTCAAAACTCTGGCCTACAAAATTTTTTTTAAGGTTTTCCGAGGGAGTAAATCTTGCTTCCTCTCTTTCTCCCACATGTGTCCTCATTGTGTGTCCTCATTTGGACCGGATGCAAAGTAACCTTCTTGCAAGTCCTGACTCATTTCCCCAACGTCCAAACTATTGGACATTGCAATATTTCACTAAATAATGCGGTATTTTAGTTGCCCCCTCTAATTATAGAGATTTTAATCTCTAAACATTTGAGTGTCAAGAACAACTCTCGTGCAGGCCCGCGTTCAGTCCCCGACGTTCAAGCTTTTTTCTATAGTAAATGTCTCTAAAATGAGGCCGTATCTCGTCCTGACCAACTTTTTTTGGCTCAATTGTAACCCATCCAGCAGCAGTCTGCTGGATAGAAGGGCAGTGGGCCTGATAAAAATAAAAAAAAAATAAACATAAATTGTTAGACTAGCTCTTTACATATGCTAGTTGTTTAATTTATTAACTGCTACTAATGCGATGATGATGCAAGAGGAGCCAGTACACATCTATGGATCAACCGATAAAAGCAGCAGACTTCTAGATGTTACTACTGCTCGGCTTAGCCCCCCCCCCCCCATAGCAAGATGGGAATAGGGGGGGGGGGCTGCATTAATAAAATGAATTAAAACTAACATTCAATTATATATTCTCAAACTTATGCAAAAAAAAACTTTACAATCACATTTGCAAAACTTGCACAAATTAATTTTGGCAATTTCGTTTACCCATTATTTGTTTGTTTTTCTTGCTTGAGCCAAAAATGAATTGTTGGGTTCATTACCAGAGTCCATTTCCCACCGTGGTAACCCCTTCCCACTACCCGCCCCACATGATGGGATTCATAATAAATGAACTAAACTAGCATTCAATTATATTCTCAACAAACTTATGCAACCCCCATACAATTACATTAGCAAGCTAACACAAATTCATTGAGCAAGTTTAACTATTCGCATACTTTGCGTCATTATATAATGGAATACGAAAAGGAAATTCGCAGAATTCAGAGATAACACCATCAATGGAGTCCAAGAAATACGCTTGTACTTCATTCATAATGATGCGCTGCCAGGAATCTTAGCAAAGTAACCAAAATATTTGCTTACTGTATGTATGTGCAGGATGCACATGACTCTCCGGTTAGGTGGTTGTGGAGTGAGACCAGCAACTGCAGACTTCCCATAGTCGTAAAAATGCCTTGCATAGAGACCGTTGCAAGCCTCTTGTTGAATCACTTAGGGTGCATATATGTGTGTGTGTGTGTGTATGTAACGAGCTTTCAAGAGATTGTCACTTACATAGCTAAACAATA